GAAAAGTAAGTGTCATTTTTTATGTGAATGAGTCTGCCAAATTTTTTATTGGATAGTGTTTGTGTAAATTTGCATGCCATGGATAAAATTTGAGAAAACAGCTTTTATTTACGTGGATTAGAGAAATAATTTAAATTTGGACTTGGGACCTCTTATATGATGCATTATTTAATACGAAAAAGGCATGATTCCTCCTTTTTATTATTGCTTTTATTTTTAAATAATGGATTATATGCTTATAGTAAAATTTAGTGTTTCTTTTTATTGAAAATTATATTCCAAATTTTGACATATTGTTGGTCAAATTAGAATTTTGCATCTTTTTTAAAGATATAATTAGCTCCCATCTTTCATCAGATAACCAAATAAAACCCTAAACATCCTGATTAATCAACTTAGATTTTTAAGGAATTATCTTTGATATTAAATAATAATACATTAGTTAAAGAATAAAAAACTATACTACCTTGTATTACATGAGGTTCCCTAGCTTATTGTCTGGTTGGACTGTGTTAATTTGGTGATTGCAAATTTTAGATTGATTTTTTCAGGCTTTCTCCACCTTTTTTGACATAAATTACCACTATTGCAGGGACTTCTCCCATATTGTTCTTGTCCACTACCTGGAATTAACGATTAGAGTTTATGATTTTTCCTATCACTTCTTCTTCTTTTTCCCTTTCTTGTCAGCAATCTTCTGAAATGAACTTATGAATTTTATTTTATACACTTTGCTTTTTACTCCCTAAAAAAATCATTTGGCTGATGCAATTTACAACCCAGATTAAACTGAAAATTTGTTGTTATATTAGGTCAATTTAAATAGCACAGTCTTGAACTGATTAATAGAACTGGCACAGCCAAATGCTATCTTGAAACATGGATGCACTACATAATTTGCTTATTCTTTTATGTTATGAACTGGTAAACTACAAGTTCATGCATTGATTGTATTCATTTTCCCTTTGTTTTTCCATTAAGGTTGCGAAATTTTTGCAATGGAAGACATAATTTTAATTGGCATATATTTTTCTTATGGGAATTGACGTTGATATATCACATCATTCTTTTACCTTTTCATTTGATATGTCATGTCTATCTTTGATAGAACTGCCAATATATCTGGTTCAACCCCAAAAGATTTGTTTGAGGATGTTGCTGAAGGATTAGAAAAACAGGTATTTCACATATAACCTCCAGAAATATGCTTAAAATGGTCTCTTTTACATGTTGCTTCGTCTTTTATTGTTAGAATCAAGTTCTAACATATCATGGATTATTAGGATCAAGTTCTTCATGCATATAATGTTATACCAGTTTCTATTTTTTTTGGTATCACAAAAGGAATGCAAATTCTAATGATTAAGATGTTTTATTTTATTAAAATGATAAATGTGATGCATGAAAAAATTATTTTTAACCATCTAGTGATGGGTTTTTTTTTACTTATTTATTAAATTCGAAATATTTATATTTATTATTTAATTTTTTCTATATAGCCTATTTATAATCTGTTGCATTTTAGTCTTTAATTTGATGCATTCCATTATTTATTGTTTTATATTTCCAATGCATTGAAAATTTACATTCATCTGCTAATTTTAATTTCTATTTCTAATTTTGCAGACTTTATTTTTTCAATTCTTTAGTTGATAATCTATTCAATAAATATTGGTCATTTGAGGAGTCTCTTTTGCATGCATATAATGTTATGTTATATCAGTCTTTGTTTTTTTGGTATCACCAAAAGAAATACAGATTTTAATGGTTAAGATGTTTAATTTTATTAAAATGATAAATATGTGGTGTATGAAAAAATTATTTTTAACCATTAGGTGATGGGTTTTTTTATTACTTATTTATTAAATTTGAAATATTCATATTTATTATTGAATTTTTTTTATGTCGTCTATTTATAGTCTATTGCATTCCAATTTTTAATCTGATGCATTCCACTATTTATTATTTTGTATTTCCAATGCGTTAAAAATTTACATTCATCTGCTGATTTTAATTTTTAATTCTAATTCTGTGGACTTTATTTTTTCAATTTTTTTTGATAATCTGTCCAATAAATATTAGTCATTTGAAAGGTTTATTAACCATTAGGTGATGGGTTTTTTTGTTATTTATTTATTAAATTCGAAATTCAAAATATTCATATTTATCATTAATTTTTTTATATAGTCTATTTTTAGTCTATTGCATTCTAATTTTTAATATGATATATTTCACTATTTATTATTTTATATTTCCAATGAATTGAAATTTACATTCATCTGCTGATTTTAATTTTTATTTCTAATTTCATGGACTTTAATTTTTCAATTTCTTTTTATAATCTGTCTAATAAATATTAGTTATTTGAATGGTCTATTGACCATTAGGTGATGAGTTTTTTTGTTATTTATTTATTAAATTTGAAATTCGAAATATTCATATGTATTATTGAATTTTTTTATGTAGTCTATTTATAGTCTATTGCATTCCAATCTTTAATCTGATATATTCATTCCAATCTTTAATCTGATATATTCCACTATTTATTGTTTTATATTTTCAATGTATTGAAAATTTACATTCATCTACTGATTTTAATTTCTATTTTTAATTCTGTGGATTTTTTTTTTTAATTTTTTTTGTAATTTGTCCAATAAATATTAGTCATTTGAAGGGTTTATTCTCCATGCATATATAATGTTATATCAGTCCTTTTTCTTTTTTTAAGTATCAGAGAGAGAACATATAGATTCTGATGGCTAATATGCTTGATTTGATTAAGGATCTTAATCCTTCTAAAGAGCGATGGAGGATAAAGGTTAGAGTAATTAGACTTTGGAAGCAAAAAAATTTTCGACAATCAAAACTTGGTGATAATATTCAAATGCTCCTTTTGGATGAACAGGTCAAAATTTTGTGTTCTTGAATTTGATTTTCAATAAATATTCTAAAGTTTGCTTTTCACATCTCCTACTTCTAACATTTTTTTATGTTTTGTTTAGGGGGGGAGGATTCAAGAAACTCTTAGGGCTTCTTTGCGTTTTAAGGATGCTTTTACTGAAAGAGGAGTTTATACAATTTCGAATTTTGGTGTTTCTTTGAATGAAGATCCTTATAAGCCAACCACACATAAATACAATATTGTTTTTAATCATAGAATTGTTCACAGTTTGCTTAATGATTCCAGCATCCCTAATTATGCATTTTCTTTCATTGAGTTTGATAAGATTTTAAACCAAACTCAAGAAAATGCTTTTTTAGTTAATATCTTTATTATAGAATAATTTCATTATATTTGTCTTAATTTACTAAATTAAATTGCAGGTTTACTTTGGATTTTACATTAAATGGTTTGCTTTTTTTCAGATGTTATTGGGTTGTTGTCAGTGGTAATTGAGCGGAAGGAAGTGACAAAAAATGGTTCTCCATTGAATATGATTTCATTTGAACTTGATGATTTAAGGTATTTTTCATTTGAATATTTCTGTTTTTTTATTAATTTCTCATTATATTTCTTTCAATTTATTTATTTTTCTTCTTTCTTTCAAACAGTGGTAATAAGCTTCGTTGCACTCTTTGGGAAAATTTTGCTATTGAGATGTGTTCAGTTATTGATAAAAGTTGCAATGAATTTGTTATTTTCGTCATTCAATTTGCAAAGATGAAATCATGGAGAGGTTTTATTCTACATTTTTAATTATTAATTTTAGTATTTTTTTTAGATTTTATTTTGAAAGTTTTATATAATTTTTTTGGTGGTTTATTTAGGTGTGATGAGGATTTCCAACACCATGTTCAATACTAGGATCTTTATAAATAACTATGATATTCTTGAAGTTTTGGCATTTAAGGAGAGGTAATATTACTGTTTTTAGATTTTTTTTTTAATTTTTTGTTATGCATCTATATTTTTATTTTTACTTAAATTTAATATTTATAAGTTTGTCTTTCATTTTTTCAGTGAATTCTATTGTTGGATTTTTTTGTGCATTAAAGCCTCAATGTTTGTTGGCTCTGTATACAAATATTTTTCAAATTATGTTGCTCTGTTTTTAATGAATATAATACCTTAGCATGTTAGCCTTATAATTTTTATTGGTGTTTTTTGAATATTTACCAAATGTTGTTATGTTATTCATCCCAATATTATTGTTTTAATAGTTTTTTATTTTTTTGTTATGCATACATATTTTTATTTTAACACATTGGAAGCATATTTAATTAAACTGGAAATGGGCGCACACTTTGTGATGTACTTGGCCAAAATGCAAGGTCTGATCCTATTTGAGTAGTTAGTTGTATATGTTTCATTTTGCTTTCAGATATCTGTGGAGCAGCTGATGCAACTTTTTAATTTCATTACTGCTCAAGCGTGTTTAATATGATTGTTTCTGGTTTGACTATTATTATGTGATTTTGTATTATTTTCTGGTTCATTTATAATTAGGACAATAAATTGTGGGATATTATATTAGCATTTTTATTTTTACTTAAGTTTTATATTAGCCCCTTATTAGTTTTTATTTCAAACTTTTTTTCCTATGACGTTTCATGCTTTAGTTTGGCATAGCAAGTGCAATAGAGATTGTAATTTTTCTTATCATTCAGTTTCAATTGGCATTATCTCCCCTGGTGCCTGAAAATGTGAACTTTTCAAAAACCTAGCAAGTTTTCCAGCATGCATGATGGGTTTAAATATATCATTTAAAGGAATTTTTTCTTGAAATTGGCTTGGATATCACACGTTACTAGACTATAATTGTGTTACCCTGTTGTAAGCTTGCTCATGCATTTGTAGCTATGTTACATAAACTTTGGAATCATGACCAAGTGTCTGATATTGATTTCCTTAAATAATTCAGCCCTAAATCCTTTTTAATTTTGTGTAATAAGTCACCTCTATTTTTATTAGAAGAACCTGTTACATTGTTTTCTAAGCACCTGGTTATCAAAACATATATTTCTTTGGGTTGCTAGCCATATCAGTTAAGCGTTACAATATTTACTAAGCAGTAAGATTTTATGCTGCAAAGATTGTACTTTCTGAAGTGGACCTCCTTAGATGTTTATTATTTTATGGAGTTCTCATCAGCTTATGTTTTTATGTGACTTAGAGTGTGGTTCACCTTTGTCAATAGAGATCACAATGATGCTAATCTGACATTAGTTTTATTACATGTGACCTTTTAGGTTTTGCTATGCTTTTCTTTACATAATTTGTATACTTACGGGTAAATTCCCTTTGAATGGGGATGTCCCTTTTAAATGGTCTTGCTGTACTTCAATTGTACTGTTGACAGCATCAAATTTAGATGTTTTTGTGCTTGTGAAAATATACATAATGCTATTTCTGTCACAGTTATGCTCTTTCTCTGTCTTCACTGTGGTAGTTTGAAAATGCTATGTAAGATGCGCATGATGTTTTTTTCTTTGAGCAGGAAGAGGGAGTAGATATAATTGCAAATTCACTTCATCCAAGATTAGTTGTCACCAATATTGCCTATCATTATTTGGGCATCTTTAATGGTAATTATTTAAGTGTTCGATGTTATGATTGGGATTTCTCCAGTGTTGCACATCATTTTTTCTTTCCTGATCCAAGGAAGCAATATGGATACTGTTACCTTGTACATAAAGCATGCAAATCACTTTACTTCCTTTGTCTTGCTACAGGCCTTTTTCACAAGATTGGTAAATTTGTATTGAAGATTTAGGAACCCTCTTGAATTGTTCAAACCCTAGCATTCTACAGCTCTCATGAACTCTCAACTTCCTTTCCTCTTTTACCATTTGGTGACAAAGAGGGAAATGGCAAGATGAACTTAGTTCTCCACTAAGTTGCAAGATAATCCATTTGAAGTGCGAACAACACTTAGTGGAATGCAACTTTTCTCAAGTGTTCTTGGCAATTACATGCCAATAGACATGTATACACTTCTTTTATTGTTAAAAAGTTATCAAACATATTTGAGGTAAATTTTAGTTTTATTTCATAATAGTTTTATAAACATATTTGAGATACTCTTTGCACCTCTTTAATAAAATTTTCTTTGCTAATAAAAACTATATTACTAATCTTATATAACATTATATATGTATTTTAATAATATTCTATTAATTATTTTTTTATTAATATATTAGTTTATATTAAAATTTTAAATATATATTTTTTTCATTTCACGGCCCGAGCGATGCCCGGTTATTAACTAGTTTCTTTCTAATCCCTAGTCTAATTATTACTTCAAATTCCACCTAATCTCAAGGGATACTTCAAATTCCACCTAATCTCAAGGGAAACTTCTTGTCTTCTTCCCTTTTCTTGATTAAACAATTGACTTTAGATCTGACAAACGAACGGGTTGGGTTGGGTTGGGTTGGGCTAGAGTCAGGTCAAAACGTATCACGACTCAAAATGGATTGAGTTAAAATAATTTATGGGTTAATAAAAGCTAACTCTAACTCATCCATCACAAGTTGTGGATCAATTCAATTATTATTTTTTAATAATTTATATCTATTATCATTCAAAGAAAAATATTCAAAAGATTTAAAAATGAAATTTAATATCTTATAAATTTTTTTTCATTAATTTAATAAAATATATTTATAATTCTTCATAATTACCTTTTCACTTCCTTTCAAAAAACAACACTAATAAAATTCGAGAACACCACACACTTATAAATCTCAATAGCAAAAAAAAAAAAGTAGTAGTAGCATAACAACAAAAAAATACAAACGCATCTAAGTAAGCAAAGGAGAAGATCAAGTAGAATTTTTATTTGGAATTGAAAGAAAACTAAAAAGCACAAATAAGTAAATAATTTAATTTGAAGGCTTTAGAGTGAAAAATTGGTGATAAAGAGAGCATTTATTGGACTCAAAGGAGAAAGAGAAAGGGCTGAGTTGATGCAACAATGACTCGGTGAGACTAAGATCTAAATCTAAAATAATGTTAAAAACTAAATAGAAAAAGTGGAATCGAAGCTTGAAGGTTAAATGCTATATAAACTATGGAGGTTGAAAAATATGAGAAGAGTTAGAGTTTTAGAAAGTCTTAGGGCAAATAAGAATAGAAAAGGTTGGGAGATGAGTCATGAGTGGAGTGTGATTATTTTTACTTTTAAAAGATGATGAGTTAAGAGAATCAATTAATTAATTATTAGAGGTTTAAGTGAGGTTAAAAATTTTAAAATAAAATAAATAAATAATAAATTAAAAAATTTTAAATTTTTAAACAAATAAATGGTCAAATCCATTAATTTAATAAGTCAATTTATTATTAACTTGTGATCTATACATTCCTTTTAACAGGTCATTAACGAGTTATGGATCATAAATATCTTATCCTAAGCCATTTAAAACGGATGACTTTTGAACATGTCAGTGGGTTGGCTAAAAATTGCCTCTAATTGACTCGACTATTTCTAAATTAGACATGGCATCAGGAAATCTTCTTTCCCTGCTTCAAAGCTTGCGTCTTTACCGCACTAGTCCACATTGCTTAATTATCAAATTGAAAAACAGATCCCCCAGA